TTGCCACAAAAGGGCACATTTTGACGAGTGTAATGTAAACAAGTAAGAAGTTGTGATAAGACTGGAGTTGGAGAAGAGGGTAAACAGTTAACAGATAAGCCAGGACAGAGGGAGGAGTGATAGTTTAAACGTTTTCGGCAGAACGTTTGTCGAGGGATTGACGAGTTCGTGGTTTGATGCGGAGAATGGCAAAACTCACTGATGATGCCGACTACGATACTGGCGAAACGTTTGAGAATGTACCAAGTCCACTCTCTGATGTTGGGAATTATGACAACTGCTATGGCAAACGACTTCGGACTAGGTGCGTTCTACTAATTCGCCCTGACAACAAGACCAAGTTGTGACAACGAAAACCCACTTCTATAAATCGAAAGGAAACTGTAACCATACCAGAGGTCACACCATCTTGGTTTTTATATCTTTATTTGGAATACGGTAGTAAAATTGTCAGACAATGCACTGAATACAGTCGGACAAAGAAGACAATTGTAAGTCAATCTTCCCATCTGATTTTTTAAACTGTTGTAAACGTTATGCTATCACTCCTAAGTTCTGTGACCTTAAGTGACCATACCACTCGGATAAGGTTAATGAGTATATCCACCAGGCTTCTATTTAGAAACTAATTGAGACCTATGATACAGAACGGAATAAGCTGTTTAAGTTTATAGATATTAAGTCAAAGCTCCGGCGTGATCTGGCCAGGATTATGTCTCCGGAAGATTTCAAAAATTACAGAGCATGACCGACAGGAGATCACGTAGGATTTCTGACTTAATAAAAAGAGGGCATGACGATAAATTGCGTAAGTTTGGCATTATAAGACAGCCTAAGTTAAAGCCAGTTAAAGTGGCTTCCGAGGTGATAACACCGACTGATCCGCACGACGACCGGAGGAAGGTATTGAACTTATCATAAATTCCTATCAATCCCAAAAGAACCGCGTTCCTGGAAAAAGGACTCCAGTTTTCACTTAATCATAACATAAGCCTTCTAGGAGACATCCTGGTGGAGGTTATCAATACCTCCGACAAGTTTCATAAGGAGACAAAACGGAAAGTGGAGATGGAAATATTTCCACATTAAGAGACTACACACAGAAGATTGAACATATTTTACGAGACAGGATCACATATCGTATACTAAACAAGGACCCAACAATAAAGATTAATGGAATCTTAAGTGACATGCTGAAAGATATGCATATAAACGGGAGAAATGAATCATGGACAATAAATTCAATCATAAGAAAGGATGCACGACCACCAGAAGCATACGGATTACCCAAGATACACAAAGCAGGAGAGCCACTAAGGCTGATAATCAACAATGAGTATGGAGCAAAACACAAATTAGCGAAGTTTATATGTTTTAAACTCAAGAAATTAAATGAGGTTATCAAACACGATGAAACATTTATATGAATTTTATCAAAAAATCAAAAACATAGCACTGGAAGAAACGGACTTATTGGTAAGTTTCGATGTATAATCCGTGTATACAAATATCTCTTGAGAAAATGTGCTAACGGCCCTGCTGGAAATCCTTGAATCACAAAGGATCAGGAGAGTCTTCGTTAACAAAGACTAATCAACTTGACAATAAGGACAACCTATTTTACATTCAACGGGAACATCTATGAACAAATATTTGGACTTCCTATGGGATCGCCGCTTTCACCACTTTTGGCAAACGTATACATGAACACAATAGAAGATAACTACAAGATGTCACTGCTACAACCAGCAGTGCTCATGCGGTACCTAAATGATTACTTCACACTTTGATCACATGGAAGAGAAAAACTGGAAGAGTTTCTGAAGTTTGCAAATCAAATTAATGAAAAAATTAAATTCACGATGGAAGTAGAGGGAGGTTAGCGGTTACCGTTCCTGGATGTTGAAGTGATTAGCTCTAATTGGACGCTCAAAAAGAAATTGTTCAGAAAGAAGTCCTATGTTGGGATAATACTCAATTGCCGGCCCCATAACAATTACAGACTAAAGAAAGGAATAATGAGGAGCATAATCATCCGAAACCTATGCTTAACGGATGTAGAATTCTGGGACAAGGAGCTGGACAAATTGACGGGGATATTGCTCGGAAATGGCTACCCAAGCGAAGTGATAAAAAGAAACATATGGGCCATCAAAAGCCGATGGCAGAACGGGGACTATGAAAGAACGGCAAGGACTATGAGTGATTCACAAAAGTGGATATGCCTACCTTCCTGCGAACTAACTCAAAAGCTACGGCCAATGTTAAGGAAATGGAATATTCTGGTGGCTATGAAAAAGAAATCAACACTTTTCACAAGTTTACCGACGCAACATGAAAGGGTAAACAAAGTGGATTATTCCGGAGTTTACTGTATATCATACGGCGCCTTCGAACAGAAATATATTGGCGAAACAGGGAGAACAATTAGCACACGAATCAAGGAACATCAGAGGCTCTGCAGGAAAATGGATACTGAAAGATCAGAACTAGCGAAACACATCACACAGACTGGACACGAAATCAATTGGAAGGCAACAGAAAGAAGGGCCCCATACGGTGGCAACATAAGCAAGCGGAAGATTAGGGAGGCGATTGAAATGCTTGGGGAGAAAGATCTAATGAACATGAGATTGGAGGAAGGTAGAGTTAGAGATAACTTTGCCTACTGCTTAAGCAAACTCTGGGAAAACAAGAATAGAGCAAGACCAGCAAAAAGGAGACGCATAGATCAAGGATCTATCGCTAACCGGAGGAAAAGGGATCGCGATGAAGAAAGTGGGGGAAAGGGGTTTTCGGCAATAAAGCGAAGATGTTGTCAGTGAGTGATGTGCATTTCGAATAAACCAGTACAACTTTGGGGGTCTGGAAGTCAGATAAGCAAACCGTCACAGAAATTCGGAGTTATGGCCAACATGTACTAGAAATCCATTTGAGATGCCGCATGCGACCAGAAAAAGGGGTCCACAGTTTGCTCAGGTAACATTGGTTTAATCAAGGAGACGACCCATGAAGGGAATGTCTGATATCTGCAAGCATGACAATCAGAGCTTAGGCGCTCTGCTCAGTGAGGCGGAGGTGTACGTTCTTCTAGGGCCTTGAAAAAATAGCGCCTGAAGTGAAATGCACACTGGGACTGGAACCGAGTAAAATTTATTAAACAAAAAGATAAGGAACGGTTCTAGGGGACAATGAGGGAGATCAGAATAGGAGGACCGAGTCGGATTAGCCAATCACAGCAGAGGGGTTCGATGCGAAAAGCAGGTGTGATGAGGCCACGCTAGATTTTTCACAAAAGGGCACACATTTCGATGAGTGGAATGTAAACAAGTGAGAAGTTGTGATATGGCGGCAGTGGGATAAGAGGGTAAATAGTAGATAGATAGGCAGAATAGAAAGAGGAGTGATAGTGTAACCGTTTTCGGCAGAACGTTTGTCGAGAGATTGATTTCACTTGTCTCTGAAAGGTTCGTAGCTTGATGCGGAGAATGGCAAAACTAACTGATGATGCCGACTAAGATGCCGGCGAAACTTTTGAGAATATACCAAGTCCACTGTCTGATGCTAGAATTATGACAACTACTATGACAGACGACTTCGGAATAGTTGAGTTCTACTAGGTCCCTCTGACAACAAGACAAAGTTGCGATAACGAGGCCAACCCACTTCTATAAATCGAAAGGAGACTTCGACCATATTAAAGGCCACACCATCTTAGTCTTCATATCTTCAAAAAATGTAAAATTAAGTTGAAATACGCAAGACGAAAATCAAGTAGTTATAATAATTGTTAAGGCCTTACACAGGTCCTATACAACATAACAAGTTTGAGCAATTCCTTTTTCTTCTGAGCAAAGAAATAATAATTATTTAAGGAAAAGTATATACCATCGAAATTCAACTTCATGCCAAACATGTAGACCTTTGGTTATGAACCTTTTGCTTAAAATAAAATAAGGCCTTGACAACAATCCTAACTAGTTTATGATGAAAAACTGGGTTTAGAAAAATTCCTTAATGCTATATTGTGACATGACTTTCCGTTTCAACGTAAAAGTTGGTTGGAAGGAATTCGTTATGTGCTTTGCCTATAGGATATATTTTTATGATTGAAAAAAAATTAAAATCCAAATATGAATCATAATGAAGTTAACATAAGAAGAGGCGGAAGACAACAAATTATTTTGAGGCGCAGAGACAGGGCTTCGGTCATTTTTAGAGCACATGCAGAGGATACAGACAGAAAAGCCTTCAAATGACACAATGCTTATTTTGAGATCATAGCCAAGGACAATTAGGAAAAAATCATAAAATCAGATATTGATATTGCGCTTTGATTTGAATAGGAAAATCAAACCAATTAAAACTTTAAACATCCTAATAAGACAGTTATGAGAATAATAAATATAGGGAAACGTCAAGTATACAAAAATAGCTGCCATGACCTGTTATACTGTTAATAAATAGCGTTAAGCATCAATGATGGGTAATACATAAGATATGCGAGAATATATAACAATGACAGCCTTTTGGAAGAATTTAACAACTACTCATTTTCACAATGCATTTCTGCGAAGCCGCGACCATACAAAAGGTCACACCATCTTGGTCTTAAATACCTCGTTTACTTTATGCCTTAGATTAGTTCGAGCATTAAATAAAAATATAGATATGCTTGAAAGGGAGGCTTAATAAAAATTTCATGAGAGAAAATAAATTCAAAAAGGGACAGTGGTTACATGATAACTGTATTGATAAGAATAATACGAATCACAGATCCAAATTGTAAAGAAAGAATAGAACAAAAAGGAGGATGAAGATGCAGAGCTGAGATTTTAAGGAAATGAATGGGCGACTAAGGCTATTCAAAAGATGAATAAGGAACAGTAAGTAGTAAGAACTAAGCCAATGGGAGAAATTAAAAAGTAATCCCTATAGTAAGGGCCAATGTAAGGTTGCGATTAAAATTGCAAAATGCAGCAGAATTTATGCAGAAGGTGTTAGACAAAGTTAGGAATTTTAAATACGCGATTCTCTTCAAGAAAAATTTCAAGGCCAATTATGCTGGTAAAAAAGTATGGCGTACTCTGGCGCACGGAATTTCTATCGGCATTACCACCAAATCCGATGAAGACATCGGCAGGAGGGCATGCCATTGCATCAGTCATGCCATCCCCGATGATAGCAACACCGGTATTGAGTTCTGCTTTTAGCCTGGCAACCACCTCTCGTTTGCCATTTGATCGGGAAGTTGGTTGGTTTGGGTCGAAATCAGCTATTGAGTTTGTAGGGTCTTTGTTGAACGAAATAGCAAGAACATAATGTATTATGGAAAGGTCATTTGGATATATAGATAGTGAACAAGGCAAACATTAGAAGATGGATTTTAAGCAAGTAAATTTGGCAGATAAATTAGCGACATAAATAAAGAATGTAGGATGAATTGGTAGTGAAATAAATGCTTAGATGAATCAACTACAGTAAAGTAGTCCTACTAAAAAGATAAGAAATATAAATATCAATATTTAGAGTAAATGTTGAAAATCCAATTAAAAAATTAAAATATAGGAATTAAGTCATTTATTTTGTGGAACAAATCACGGTTAAAGACAAACTATTATAATATTGTGAGCAAAACAACTTAAGAACTATAGAACGTGGTCTTTTTGACAGTCTAATGAGCCTAAACAATTTTGAAAGACAAGCAAATGGTCTTCAGAAGTCTTTTAGGGACCATTTAAACAAAGCTAACTGGAGAAAATCAAGGGTGAGAGAAGAAAAATAGGAAGTTTCTAATAAATGAATTTTCAAACAATACCTTATCAACCCGAAGTTTAACTTGGCAAGAGGATAAAAATGCCTCTTAAAAATAGGTCGTCATAGGTGGTTGATTCAGCTATAAGCCTTAAAGAGGTTCGGACTTACGTAAAACCCCGAAAAGTGGGCTATTAAAAGTTGTTTTTAACCTTTTATGTCTTGTATTTAAGGAAATATATAATTCGTTTTTAAGTTTATTAATGGCGATGCATTTTAATAGATATTTTGTACGTGCCAATAAAATAATACTTAAACAATTTGCAAAAAAGTTAGTGATATTTTCAGATGACAGATTTTGACTCAAGCGGGTAATGAATAATTTTGCAAATTTGGCAGAGGAATTATAGAACAAATGATTTGCTAGAATCGACACGGGATAAAATCTAAATTTAAAATAGAAGACGATTAGTAATAACTAAGCGAACGACAAAGATTAAATAAAATGTTGAATAACGAAAAAAATAATCAGTTTTTGTTCAATATTAAAATTGGATATAG